ATTTGATCATTGCACATTGTATCCATGTATTGAAATATCACATTGTACTCTATGAATATGCATAATTATTATGTTAATGAAACCTTTTTAAAAATGTGAACTTAAAAAAAGACTTAAACTTCAATCTACCAGTACCTAAGAGAAAATCAACTGCTTCCTTGACCATTTTTTACAAGTATGTATCCTGTAAAACCTACCATTTTAAGACATTTTCAAGCTTCAATTTCAGAACAGCAAATCAATCCTTGCCTCATTCAATATAGGTATGAAGATGTTGTATACATTGAATGTCATATAAAATGGCAAGAGAGCAAGTCAGCCAACCACAGGCAGGCTTCTTACCTGGGTATCTCCATATTTCAGGGGGAGAGGGTGGTTCTAAGCATGACAAAGGAGCCATAAACAGGCTCCGTTTGACTTTTTGCTTGATGTATACAACTCACATAGCGTGAAATAAAGTAATTCTTAGTTCAGAAGGAAAAAGCAGGTTGTCACATCATCGGATACTTAACCTGCTGTAACAGCTTCAAGAAGTGAGCACACCTGGTCTGACCGTAACTTCCACTGTGTGACCTTGAACAAGGCACTTAAGCTTCAGGATGTGGGGTACCCCAGATGCGGTTTCTGGCATAGCAACGTTGGTATCACCTGGCAGCTTGTTTTTAAAATAACAAATTCTGATGTCCCCACCCCAGACCTACTGAATATGAATCTGCATGTCTTCCAGAACCCCAGGCGATTGGTATACACATGAGAATCTGCAAAGCCCTGGTCTGTGGACCTGTTCCCTGTTGGGTCAAATGTGCTGGTTCTTCCCACCTGAGCTCCTCACAGGGTTGTGATGAAGAGCAGCTGAGAAAATACAACACACATAAACCATTTTAAACCATCAACGACTGCACAAATGGCAGGAACCAAACTGTCGTTCATGTGAAAGATGGGGAGTGGTAGCAGAATAATTCTTGGTTAATGGTGATTGCTGTAATGGGACTGGTCCTTCCTGATAGTTACTCGTGATCCTCTGATCATCTTTTCCAGATTATGACCTTTCAAAGATGAGGGACTTCATCAACCAGCAAGCTGATGCTTACGTGGAGAAGGGCATCCTTGACCAAGAGGAAGCCAAGGCCATCAAGCGCATTTACAGCAGCCTGTAAAAATGGCCAGAGATCCGGGAGTCTGTCGGCTGTTTCAGCAAACACAGTATAGCTTAAGACTGTTCTAATTCTGTGACTCAAGTTGTTCTGACTCAAGAATTATTAGAAAGTGCTGAACCTACAGTAGTTAACCTTCTAAAAGTGGCTAAAATGTAGCTTTCTCGCCATAAAAACTATCAGAAAAGTAAAGTGGTATGTGAGCTGAGATTTTGTATATAGAATCCTTATTTCTTCATTGATTTATGTTTTATGATCAGATAGTCTGCTCTGGAAAAGCCTCCAAAGGACTGCACTTAAAACTAAACCTTTGTACTGTCTTTACACACGAACACACGCTGCAGAATGAAAGGGGATCTGTTTCCAAAGCGTGCTGGGTACCAACGGCCCTTGTGGAAGATGTCTGTTACAAGGTGTCGGTTCCACTTGCAGTCCCCACTTGCGAGGTGAAATAAATTCACGTTTCCTCAAAGCCTCTATACCTTAAGGGGAGCCATCTGATTTTTTGGCTGCTCTTTTTAGCTGCCTCATTGTTAGGCCCGGTGGCACAAAAAGGAACCTGAGAATTGGGCATAGCACTTGGTAGACTTGTTAACAGTTTGTCCCTACACTTCATCAGTCCTATTAGTGAGCTTTCAGGCATGAGTTTGCTTATAAAGCGGGATGTTTATTTTCTCCAAGAAGACAAATGAGGTCATCACTAGTCCATGAAGGCAAGTAAAAAGTAAAAGGGGATCTCAGTTATCTAAAGTGGAGTTGACCCAAGCCAAGTTTTTTTCAAAGAGGGCAAAGGATTGGGCAGTAGGGCAGAGACAGATGAATCACAGCCTTCCCTGTGAGTCAAAGCTGGAGGGACACTTCCCTGGGGGAAAGGCTGGTGAACCTCAGGTCTCTCTGATTTCTCCACCTCAACCACTCCCACAGCTGTGGCCCCAGAAACAGCCATGCAGTGGCCAGCGGGCCTCTTGAAATGTTACTGTTCAGTGTTCCCAGACCAAAGAATACTTTGAAAATGTATTAATCAGAGTGAACTGACATTTTTTAAAATATCTTTGTTTAAAATCATAAAAGGATAATGCTGTGTATATGAGCTGTCCCTACTCGCTGTCCTCAAGGCCTCTTCCTGGTTCTCACTTGCTGGGGCACTTAGAGGGAAGCAGTAAGAAGCTGGTCTTGGTTGACATGGCTGCTGCTCCTTGCCATCCACAGAGTTGCCGAAACAAAACCAAAGCCTCACACACACACATACACACACAACCCAGTGTATTCTAGAGAAGCCAGGACCCACTGGTGAGTGGAGAGTGAGAGCTATCAGCACCTTCGCCCATACCACTTGCCAAAGCACAGCTACTCCCTGTTCAATGAGTTGTCTCTGATCACAGGACCAACCCTACTCGGGCCATGTCCAAGCAGCTGCTTCTACAGCAGACCAAAACACTGGCCCTGATTAAAGCATTGTATGCATTTTTTTCTACAATGCACCCAAATATCTATGCAGTGTTTTTTTTTTTTTAATAAATTGATTTAGGGAGTCACAGTTTTCAAAGCCCATCAGCTCTTACTGATAACCAAGACAACAGGGAGATCATTTGCCCTGTTTGATAAATGAGGCCGCTGGGTCACAAAGGGAACAAGGACATGGTCTATGCTCATGCGGACGAGGGGTAGTCAGGCTGGGGCCAGGACCCGGGGTTCTTGTCTGTCACTCCTCCCCAGTGATTCTATGGGCAAGGCGGGGTAAGTAACTCCTGTCCTCTATAATTCAGCTGTGAAAACAAAGAATCCAAACTCACTAACACCTTGGAGAGATGCTCTGGCTAGAAACTGATGAAAGACCACAGGAAAAAAATAAAACATGTTTTTGACATCATGGTCTCGCTTTTTGAGTTTCTGTCTTTCTGACAGTATCTTTGGGATTACTCTCAAACTTCCAATCACTTTATGTTAAACAGCGTAACTCTATATTTTAAAATTTTCCAGGTGTCCAAAGAGGCTTGTTTGGGCCTTTTCTTACAAATCTATGTTGATTCCTTAATTTTTTTCTTTTAGTTTTTCTCTCCTTTCAAGTAACTCCCCACAGTTTAGATAGTGGATATAAGAAAACAGCAAACTGGGACCAGCATTGTGGCACAGTGGGTTAAACTGCTGCCTACAATACTGCATCCCATATGAGCACTGGTTCAAGTCCTGGCTGCTCCACTTCTGATCCAGCTCTCTGCTAATGTGATAGCCCAAGCACTTGGGCTCTTGCCACCATGTGGGAGACCTGGATGGAGTTCCTGGCTCCTGGCTTTGGCCTGGTTTAGCCTGGCCCATCCCTGGCCATTGTTACCCTTGGGGAGTGAACCAGTGGATGGAAGATTCTCTCTGTGTGTGTGTGTCCTCCTCCATGTAATTCTGCTTTAAATAAATAATTTTATATAATTGATCTATATTATGTAATTATCTATATTAACCTATATTTATATAATTAACATATAATATTTATATAATTAAAAGAAAGAAAACATGGCCAGCGCCGCGGCTCACTAGGCTAATCCTCCGCCTAGCGGCGCCGGCACACCGGGTTCTAGTCCCGGTTGGGGCGCCGGATTCTGTCCCGGTTGCCCCTCTTCCAGGCCAGCCCTCTGCTGTGGCCCGGGAGTGCAGTGGAGGATGGCCCAGGTGCTTGGGCCCTGCACCCTATGGGAGACCAGGAAAAGCACCTGGCTCCTGGCTCCTGCCATCGGATCAGCATGGTGCGCCGGCCGCAGCGCGCCGGCCGTGGCGGCCATTGGAGGGTGAACCAACGGCAAAAGGAAGACCTTTCTCTCTGTCTCTCTCTCTCACTGTCCACTCTGCCTGTCAAAAAAAAATAAAAAAATTAAAAAAAAAAAAGAAAACAGCAAAGCATGACCCAGAGAGCACCCTATTTCAAAGATGCTATACTAACATGAGAAAAAAACCCACAAAGGATCAAGTATAAATAATGAGGAAAGTAGGAAAGGGAGAATGAAAATAGGGAAACAAAAGGTCTTTTTGCTCTACAAACAGCAAACTCCTCTTGGGAGGGGTAAATGCAGGGAATTTTTGTGAAAGCTTAACGATTTATATAACCCACTAGTTCTACAGAAATTAAGACCAAAATATTTCATTGCAAATGGTATGTTGCTTAAAGTTTACATATAATAAAGGTAAGACCAATTATGTGAATAGAAACCTGTATCAATTCAGATGTGTGCAGTGACTACACAACACCCTATAATAAAATGACTTAGCAATGAAATCCAAACTGGATTTCAGCAATGTTTCAGACTTAGTATCATTTATTTGTGCCCTTGGTTGTTTTCCGTATTTTCACTGAATGTGAAATACACTAAGTCAATGAGAATGCAAAGGGTACCAGCAATTGTAATTTATTTCCTTTTAGATTATTGAAGCTTTTATTTTCAAAAGTGCATTTATAATTATTAAAAAAAAAAAACATTAAAATTGGGGGAGAAGTCATCATTTCTAAAGTGTAATTTAAAAATCTATTTTATTTTTGAACAGGCATTAGGGCACAGTAAGTTTGAGCCATGGCTTGGCATACCTACATTATAATGGAGTGCCAGTTTGAATCCCAGCTAATCCATTTCCAATCCAACTTCCTGCTAACACACCTGGTGGCAGCAGCTTATGGCTCAAGTACTTGGTCCCTGGATGGAGTTCCCAGCTCTTGGCTTTAGCCTGGCCCAGCGTCAGCGATTGGAGCCATGCTGGGGGTAAACTCAAACCTATCTGTCTCTTTCTTTCCCTCTGGCTTTCAAATAAATTTTTAAAAAATCTATTTTACTTTCCCATTTGTTGAAAAAATTGAGGACTCAAATATGCAAACATAGTTTATTTTCTCATTCAGAATTTTGTAGTTTATTTTTTTTTACAAAATAGCAGACAAAATTTGGTTCTTTGTATTAATACAGAATATGTAATACATATTGAAATATATATATATATATAGCACTTAGGTTATAAACACGCAGCAATTTCAGCATCACGTAAACAACCACCAAGTCTTTCACAAAACTAGGATTTCATCAGGAGATAAACCTTTTCTTAGCCTAAATATATATATATATATAAATAGTCTCTGATGCTTTATGTCAACCAGTATTTACAAAAGCTCGTCTAGAAACTACCAACCACCCCTGCAAAAATGGTGAGCTTGAGGATGCAATGTTGCTGTCATGCCATAACAGAGACTTAAAACTGTGGAAAGCCAGGAGGAGCGAATCACTTCAGCGCAGCTGCAGAAGGTACGTGAACTACGGGAATCCAGAGGAATGCTTCCGAATCTTCGCTGTTGGAGTCTTTGTGGTCCAAGCATCTCTTAACCCGGGTGACAGTGTTGCCCTTCACCACCTAACTGTGATAGAGGGAAGTTGCATAGGGACTTTCTTCATCTCTGAGGAAGAGAAACAGTGAAAGTCAGTGCTGAAACCTGTACCCAGAAAATTAAAAGATACACATATTACACAGCGTAAAAGCCAGCTTCGGGGGAGGTGCTGGGCTCAGTTCAGATGCCCACAGCCCACAGTGGAGTGCCTGGGACTGAGTCCCAGCTCCACTCCTGATTCCAGCTTCCTGCTAATGTACACCCTGGGAGGCAGCAGGTGATGCTCGACTAGTGGGTCCCTACAACCCTCACAGGAGACCTGGACTGAGTTCCAGACTCCTGGCTTCATCCAAGCCCAGCCCTGGCTGTTATGGGCATTTGAAAAGTAAACCAGTAGATGGGAGACATCTCTATGTCTGTCTTCTGTCTCTCTTTTTCAAATAAATTTTTTAAAATATAGACCCATCTGCCAAAGAAGGGAAGGAATATATCAACTCACAATGTTACTGTGTTTGCCTCAAAAGTTGTATAGAACAGATACCTATTGAGATGTACCTCAGTAATTTGGGATAAATAATATTGTATATATCTTGGTTTAGATTATAAATTTTGGGGCTGGCACTGTGGCGCAGTGGGCTGAGGCCCTGGCCTGAAGCACCGGCATCCCATATGGAAGCACGTTCTATTCACGGCTGCTCCTCTTCCCATCCAGCTCTCTGCTGTAACCTGGGAAAGCAGTAGGAGATGGCCCAAGTCCTTGGGCCCCTGCATTCACTTGGGAGACCCGGAAGAAGCCCCTGGCTCCTGGCTTCAGATAGGTGCAGCTCCGACTGTTGCAGCCACCTGGGGAGTGAACCAGAGGATGGAAGACCTCTCTCTCTGTAACTCTGTCTTTCAAATAAATAAAATACATCTAAAAAATAGATTATAAATTCCTTATTTACTGATTTTATTTTTTGTTTGAAAAATAGAGACAGAATAGAAGTAAAATTGACACTTTAGGAAGCAATGACTTTGTCTCAACTGTTGAGGAACAATTTTTTTCATACTATTTGTTGGACTCTTTACTTAACACAGAGCTAGTTATATGCGTATAGAGTTAATTGAAAACAGATCTTAGAAATAAAAATGGGAATAGGAGAGGGAGGAGGAAGGAAGGAGGGCAAGCATGAGGGAAGAAACACCTTGTTTCAAACGCTGCAATTATGAAATGTATGAAGTCTGTATTCTTTAAATAAAAGGTTTCTGGGGTGGGAGGGAGGAAAAATAGAGACAGAGATCTTCCACCCACTGGCTCACTCCCCAAATGCCTGCAACAGCCAGGGCTGGACCAGGCCTAGTGAGGAACCCAAACTCCAACCAGGTCTCCCATATGTACAGCAGAGACTCAAATACTGACAACATTATTTGCAATCCACATTAGAGCAGCAAGCTGGATCAGAAGCGGAAGAGCCATGGCTCAAACCAGGTCCTCCAGGACTGGCTGTGGGTGTCCCAAGCAGCAACTTAACCAATGAACCAAATGCCCACAACTAAATTATATTTTAATATATTAAATTTATACTTAATTATATTCATTTATATTTTCCATATTCTACCTCATTCTCAAATGATCTGAGATGCCTGTAACAAAGGAAATACATATACCAAGATGAATAAAATAGTAATAAAAAACAAGGACTATGGAAGAGAGAAAAGACAATATATTAACCACAAGAAATATTACGACAGTTGAACCTCAGCATCAATTTTAGTAGCAAATTTCCCAGTAGTCAGGGCAAAGAAAAAGGAAACAATGTAGGTTGTGTCTTCTTGAAATCATAAAGGAAGAAGGAAACCAGTTCAATAGGAGAAAGGTTTGCTCCAGGGCCATACTAAAAACCAAAGAAATAAGCTCAGGGCCGGTTGGGGCACAGCAGGTTAAGCTGCTGCTTATGACACTGGCATCCCACAGGGCTGCCAGTCCAAGTGCCCACTGTTCCACTTCCAATCCAGCTCCTTGCTAATGTGTCTCGGAAAATGTTAGAACATGGCCCAAGTGCTTGGGCCCCGCACCCTCAGAAGAAGTGAATGGAAGCCGGCGCCGTGGCTCAATAGGCTAATCCTCCACCTTGCGGCGCCGGCACACCGGGTTCTAGTCCCGGTTGGGGCGCCGGATTCTGTCCCGGTTGCCCCTCTTCCAGGCCAGCTCTCTGCTATGGCCAGGGAGTGCAGTGGAGGATGGCCCAGGTGCTTGGGCCCTGCACCCCATGGGAGACCAGGAAAAGCACCTGGATCCTGGCTCCTGCCATCGGATCAGCGCGGTGCGCCGGCTGCAGCGGCGGCCATTGGAGGGTGATCCAACGGCAAAGGAAGACCTTTCTCTCTGTCTCTCTCTCTCACTGTCCACTCTGCCTGTCAAAAAAAAAATAATAAAAAAATAAAAAAATAAAAAAAAAAAAGAAGTGAATGGAAGATCTCTCTCCATCTCCCTCTCTCTATATATAACTCTTTCAAATAAATAAAATGAATCTTTAAAAAAAAAAAAAAGCTGAAATGCTTAAAAAAGAAAGACATTCAATGAGATCTTAACAAACGATGGAAAAATAATGGGCACTATCTTTGACAAATTGTATAAGGAACAGTATTTCTATTAAGTATTCTCTAGAGTGCTGCTTTCCTTGAAGATGTCAAGGAGATGCTCATATCTGGCTGCTATGCAGAATCAGTAGCTGGACCATGATGCTATTAAAGCAAACTTATTGTAAGAAATAAGAGATGGGGGCAGCGCTGTGGCGTAAGGGATAAAGCCGCCACCTGCAGTGCCGGCATCCCATATGGGCACCGGTTCTAGTCTAGGCTGCTCCTCTTCCAATCCAGCTCTCTGCTATGGCCTGGGAAAGCAGTAGAAGATGGCCCAAGTCCTTGGGCCCCTGCTCCTGAAGAAGCTCCTGGCTCCTGACTTCAGATCTGCCCAACTCTGGCTGTTGCAGCCATTTGGGGAATGAAGCAACAGATGGAAGACCTCTCTCTCTTTCTCTGCCTCTCTGTAACTCTGTCTTTCAAACAAATAAATAAATAAATCTTAAAAAAAAAAAAAAAAGAAAGAAGAGGGGCAACCGTTGTGGCACAGTAAGTCGCTGCTCTAGGCTGGCACTGTGGTGCAGTGGGTTAAACTGCCACCTGAGTCACCAGCATCCCATATGAGCGCCGGCTGGAGTCTTGGCTGCTGCACTGCTGATCCAGCTCCCTGCTAATGCGCTTGGGAAAAGCAGCAAAGATGGCCCAAGTGCTTGGGCCCCTGCACTCCTGTGAGAGACCAGGATGGAGTTCCTGGTTCCTGGCTTCAGCCTTGCCTCATCCTTGACCATTGTGGCTACCTGTGGAGAGAAACAGCAGATGGAAGATCTCTTTTGCTCTGGCTCTCCCTCTCTCTGTAGCTCTGCTTTTCAAATCAATAAATAAATCTTAAAAAAAAAAAAAAGATACTGCTCCGGATTCACATACCACATACGGAGTGCCTGGGGTTAAACCCTACTCCATTTCTGCTCGTGTGCACCCTGGGATGCAGCAGGTGATGGTTCAAGTACTTAGGTCCCTGCTGCCCACATGGGAGACCCAGACTGTGTTCCATGCTCCTGGCTTTAGCCTGGCCCAGCACCAGTGAACCAGAAGATGGAAACATGGAATCTCTCTCTGTCACTCTGCCTTTTTTTTTTTTTTAACTTATTTATTTGAGAACTAAAGCTACAGACAAGAGAGAGGGAGAGACAGAAAGGTCTTCCATCTGCTGATTCATTCCCCAAATGGCCGCAATGGCTGGAGCTGGGCCGACCCGAAGCCAGGAGCTTCTTCCAGGTCTCTCACTGCAGGTGCAGGGGCCAAGCACTTGGGCCATCTTCCACTGCTTTCCCAGTAGCAGAGAGCTGGATCGGAAGGGGAATAAGTGGGACATGAACTGGGCTGCCGGTGCTGCAGGCAGAGGCTCAGCCCACTATACCACAGCGCCACACTGCCTTTCAAATAAAGAGAATAAAAATAAAACTTTAAAAAAAAAAAGAGAGAGAGACAAAAGCACTGCAACAGATAAAACCCTGTGCAGCACGCAAAGTTACCTGCTTAGATTTCACATATTAACATGGCTTTCTAGAATGAACTATAACTTTTAAAGCAACAGAGAAGAAAAGAAAGACCTGGCCAAGTGACGACATCCTAAGAACAATTTTTTCAGCCTCTGGCACGTGTCCCAGGGTATCTTTACCTGCTCTCTCCTTTTAGTTTCTTGGCTGCCTGTGTTGATAACTTAATCTGCTGGTCGAGCCTCTGCAGGAAATCTCTGGCTGTCACCTCCTCAGGCTGCCCGGGCTGAACATCAGGTTCCTGGGGGCTGGGAGGAGGGAGGTCTTCCCCAGCCCTCACTGGCAGCTCCTCCTGAGCAAAACTGCTATCAACAGTTTCATTTTCTGGTGAATCGATGGAGTTCAGTCCATTAAATGCCAAAGGCTTCTCTGATATAATTGGGATGCTCAAAGTTTTCTTCAGAAATATACAATCATTGGTAAACAGATTATTGGCCCTTTTTATCTGCTCCATCTAAAAATGTAAAAAAGGAAACACGGAGTTACAGGTAACAGGTGCAAAGCAGGGTTTATCCCACGACACAGATCTACAGCCATTCCCGAGTAAGGTGTGCACAATACTTCCTCTGGATTCAAGGTTCTTCTCCGGGGTTTGGTCACCTCCCAGATTTCTGCAGTTATATAAGGGATGTCAGGAAAAATCCTGCTTCCCACGAGACTTCCCCCACCCCACTATATTATTGCCCCTACAAAACAGCCTTCAGTCTCTGAAGTTAAAAAAAAAAAAGTAGAATTTTTAGCACTTACTTATTAGACTCCATTTTTGTTTTAACATTTCTATTACCTGTTTTCCTTAAAAATAAAAAAAAACAACTTACTATTGTTGCTATTTTACCTGTAGGATGTTTCCTACGTGTCTAGAAGTCTAGAATTGTGAGTCTAACCCACGGGGCAGAGACAGACATAGAGCCGGAATCTGAAAGAATGGGATAGAAGGGGCAGCAGGCAATAGGAAGTGCTTCTCTGGAAGGCAGCATTCTGATTCTGATTCTTTGGATTTCAGATGAGCCTTGAAGGACGGGTACATGGGACAGGCGAGGAGAGGAGGGGAGGGGTCCTTTACACGCGATGTCTTTGCTACCCCATGAGTACTGGAAGATTCACTTTACAAATAAAAGAAACAATAGGTTTGAACACATTATATATATCAAGGACTCACACAACTGGTAGATGAAGAAGGCAGGATTTAGTGCAGGAACAGAGTGGGTGTACGTTCTCAGTTAACCTTCTAACAGTTCTGCCGTTTGGATACAGCCAGCTCCTTTTCACAGTGAGAAGATGGAGGAGGTTCAAGGGCACTGAGTAGCATGCCTGAGTCCACAGGCTGCTCAGTGCGGATGCGACCCAAACTCTGCTAGCTCTGAGCCTCCTGGGGAAAAGCCTACTCTTGCTTATTAGCACACTGCAGTAAAATGTGTCTAGAGACTTCCCTGCCCTACCAACCCCGGGGACTTGCCCCACGCCAGGCAGGCTACATGCACCGTGGCATCTCATTCCTGGCGCTTTTGCTTGTGAAGTGTCTACGTGAGACAGTTTGGTGCAATGACTTAAACACACACGCCCCCGGATCTCACAGACCTGGTTCAAATCCCAGCTCCATCAACACGAACCATAGGAGCAGGAGCTTGTTACTTATCTCATTGTCTTTTTTTTTTTTTTTTTTTTTTTTTTTTTTTTGACAGGCAGAGTGGACAGTGAGAGAGAGAGACAGAGAGAAAAGTCTTCCTTTACCGTTGGTTCACCCTCCAATGGCCACCGCAGCTGGTGCGCTGAGGCCTGCGCACCGCGCTGATCTGATGGCAGGAGCCAGGTACTTATCCTGGTCTCCCATGGGGTGCAGGGCCCAAGTACTTTGGGCCATCCTCCACTGCATTCCCTGGCCACAGCAGAGAGCTGGCCTGGAAGAGGGGCAACCGGGACAGAATCCGGCGCCCCAACCAGGACTAGAACCCGGTGTGCCAGCGCCGCAAGGTGGAGGATCAGCCTAGTGAGCCACGGCGCTGGCCTATCTCATTGTCTAAAACAGGCATCATCTACCTTTCATGGGAAGAAATCTAGACAGTTGAGACAGGTACCCAGGAAACACATGCAGATATACAGTCTATAAATGTTATATCTAGGCCGACGCCGTGGCTCACTAGGCTAATCCTCCGCCTTGCAGCGCTGGCACACCGGGTTCTAGTCCCGGTCGGGGCACCAGATTCTGTCCCGGTTGCCCCTCTTCCAGGCCAGCTCTCTGCTGTGGCCCGGGAATGCAGTGGAGGATGGCCCAAGTGCTTGGGCCCTGCACCCCATGGGAGACCAGGAGAAGCACCTGGCTCCTGCCTTCAGATCAGTGCAGTGCATTGGCCGCGGCGGCCATTGGAGGGTGAACCAACGGCAAAAGGAAGACCTTTCTCTCTGTCTCTCTCTCTCTCACTGTCCACTCTGCCTGTCAAAAAAAAAAAAAAAAAATGTTACATCGACAGCAAATAGAGAGAAGAGAAGAGAGAGAACGGGGAAATGGCGAAAGAGAGATTGACTCGTAGGGTGCCTGGAAGCAGATGGCACTTAACTCCTCTCCATTTTGCAATGTGAAATTCAAAGCACACAAGAAGTGATTGATTGAAACAAGTGCCTCCAGCTCTATAAATGTTTCAACTGGAATTTCTGCCTGACTCTGATGTCTCTACAATGTCCAGATTAAAGTGCATGAGAAATGGAACCAAATTATGGGGAGCCTTTAATGCCAAATTGATTCTGGGTAAAGAAATTATATTTCTGCTTCAAACAGCCAACAAAAACAACAGTCAAATAAATGCATCCTGTTCCTCCTGTTTCCTTATTAGAAGCTGGATCCATGCAAACAGAACCTTTAAAGACTTTCTCTCTCTTTTTAAAGATACCACAGGGCTGGTGCTGTGGTGCAGTGGGTTAAGCTGCCACTTGGAACACCCACATCCCCATATTGGAAGGTCTACTTGGAGTCCCAGCTACTCCACTTCCTATTCAGCTCCCTGCTAATATGCCTGGGAGGAAGCAAATGATGGCTTAAGTACTTGAGTCTCTGCCACCCGTGGAGGAGACCCAGATGAAGTTCTTGGCTTCTGGCTTTGGCCTGGCCCAGTCCTGGCTATTGTGGGCTTCTGAGAAGTGATTCAGCAGCCTTTCAAATAAATAAATAAACCTTAAGAAATAACTAAAGGATACTGGGGCCAGAGTTGTGGCACAGCTGGTTGAGCTGCCACCTGCGATGCCAGCATCCCACATGAGCACTTGTCCAAGTCCCGCTGATCCACTTCTGATCCAGTTCCTTGCTATTGCACCTAGGAAAGCTGCAGAAGATGGCCCAAGTGCTTGGCCCCTCTACCCACGTGGGAAACCTAGAAAAAGCTCCTAGCTCTGGCTTTGGTCTGGCCTAACCCTGGTCATTGTGGCCATTTGGGGGATGAGCCAGCAGATGGAAGATCGATCTCTCCCTCTCTCTCTCTCTCTCTGTCTCTTTTTCTTTCTAATTCTGCCTTTCAAATAAATAAATAAATAATTTTTAAAAAAGGAAAAAGAAACACAGGGCAGGCACTGTGGCACAGCAAGTTAAGGGGGCACCTGCGACACTGGCATCTCATATGAGTGCTGGTTCAAACCCCGGCTGTTCTACCTCTGATCCGGCTCCCTGCTGATGCACCTGGGAAGACAGTCAAAGACGGCCCAAGTGCTTGGGCCCCTGCCCACACATGCCGGAGACCCAGATGGAACTGCAGGTTCCTGGCTTCAGTCTGGCCCAGCCCTGGTGATTGCAGCCATTTAGGGAATGGACGGAAGATCTTGCTCTATCTGTTTCCAATTCTTCCTTTCAAAAAAAAAGATACTGTATTAAGCTGCTGCTGCTGTCACAGAGAACTGGTTCAAGTCCTGGCTGCTCTGCTTCCAATCCAGCTTCCTGCTAACGCATCTCAGAAGGCAGCAGAACATGGCCCAAAACTTTTGGGCTCCTGCCATCCATGACAGAGGCCAAGATGGAATTTCTGGTCCTGGCTCCAGCTTGGCCCAGACCTGGTTTTTGAGGCCATTTGGAAAATGAGCCAGTGGATGGAAGATCTCTCTCTCTTTTTCTTTCTCTGTCACTCTGCATTTTAAATACTAATTTTTAAAAAGATACTGTATTAAAGAATAGAGATAGAAGGGGTGGTTCTTTGTGTTCTAGTTTCTAGTTTAAGGAGAGCAGAGAGCAGGCAAGGGTGAGAGAGAGAGAGAGTGAGAGAGAGACCATACACATGGGCAGGTACATTTTAGGGACAAAATTAAAATACATAAATCCCAAGTATCTCTGGTCTAGTTTACGTTTAGGTATGGGAGAGTTAAATAGCTTGAGTACACTGCCTATGGCAAGTTCAAGTTTGTTCTACTGACTTTAGGAGCTCACATTTTGCTGCCCTTAGTTGCTGTTACAGCACAGGAGTCCCATGGCCCTGAGCCCTGCCCTGGCTCCAGGGTGAGCACAGGACTCATTCCTGCCCTTTGAAGCATCACAGGGCCCCGGCTTGCGTGACAGAACTTGTCAGACATGCAAAGACAGGGAGGGGCAAAGTTCTCTACTCCTGCTGGAAGGAGATGTGTGGAGCCGCAGGCAGTCATCCTGCCACCTTGGGGAACCTGATAACCAAGCCACCAGAGGAGAGTATCTGGGTATCTGGGTCATAGCCTGAAGCCAAAATACCCTTGGACCTTTCGGTACTATGAGCCATTTTGGGTTTGGCTGGGGTTCCCCTTAGGCCAATTTAAGTTTGCTATCCCTTGTAACTGAAAGAGCCCTGGGAGATCTGATACAGTGCCCTTTGAAGTCCTTCCTGGAAGAGGTCTGAGGTTGCTAACAGTAACTGCTGCCTGGGCATAGTGTGGGGTCAGAACCTGAGAGCAGCACCAGGGTCTGAGTTGCTGAGCAGACCTGGGAACAGCCAGGGGACACAGAGTTCCTTCTGTAGCCTTCCCGTCTCCACAAAGATCTTGCAACACCACATGCTGAGGATGCATGCATGAATTAACACAGTCAGAGGAACCCGCATAGAAGACAAACCCAGGGAAGTAACCACAAATGGGCAGTGAGTTATTTCCTGCAGGTTAGCCTCCTTTTAAACTCACACTCTCCTCCCTATGGCCTCCCTACTCTTCTTGAGCCTATTCTAAACCCTGGGAAGGGAACTTTTTAAAAACTGCATGATCTGGGGGTGGCATTGTGGGACAGTGGGTTAAGCCACCTCCTGCGACACCAGCATCCCATGAGTGCTGGTTTTAGTCCTGGCCGCTCCTCTTCTGATCTAGCTCCCTGCTAATGCACCTGGGAAGACAGCAGAAGATGTTCCAAGTGCTTGGGTCCCTGCTACCCACATGGGAGACCTGGATGGAATACATGGCTCCTGGCTCTGGCCTGGCCCAGCCCCAGCCTTTACAGCCATTTGGGGAGTGAACCTCGATGGA